CGTTATTTCAAGCAAAAGTCAGTAGTTGTTTTTTAGGGGGGGGGGGGGAGGAGAATAATGTTACATTCACACAGAAATAATTTCATTTTTTCCCTTAAATTCCCTAGTGTCAAAGTCTTGCCAAAAAAGTTTATTAATGGGAGAAAACAAATTGCTTTGAAAAATGTAGTCCAGAAGTCTAAAAATAAATAATCCATCCCAAAAAATCCCTCTTCCCTAAAATAAGATGAAAAATATTGAACTGGTGGTTTCTACTGATACTAGCAATGTGATTACATTAAATGTCCTGGCAAGAAACCCCTCAGAGGTGGATTCTTGAAATTTTGGAAAAGTACACATCAGAGCCACTGTGCGTTTTTGCAGGTCTTAATGCAATGACAGCCTTCCATAGTGGAGGAAGCCTAAGTTGAAAAAACAACCTTAACTCAGTGCCTTGCCATTTTTGTATATCCCGTCTGAAAGCTCAAAATTAAGAACCAGTTCATGACTCTCTCATTCTTTCCAGTTTTCGTTTTGTGTTTAAAAAAAAAAAAAAATCAACATCCCCTGGAGGAAGGGCAGTACATATCAGGGGCCTGGTTTAGTCCACTGGATTAGACCCTTGGTCTGTATTGCCCTTGGAAAGAGAGAGAAAGAGAAGAGAGCCTTCCTCCCTTTGGGGACTAGAGGGATCCTCATTCTGCTAGGCTGAAGTTATTTGTTTTCTCCCTCAAAACTGCTTCACATTTTAATCGCTGGCCTAATGGCTGCTTTCCACCCTTCCTGGAAAACTGCAAAGCACATTCATTTTGTCCTATATTTCTGTTTTATTTTTACGTTTGATTTTTAATGGAAAGAAATGCCTCAGTTTCCCACCCAGTTGTGTCTGCAGAAGCAAGGTCATTACTGAAATGCCACCTTGGAATTTAGGTATATTATAGCTTAATACCTCCCAATCAGTTTGTATATATCTCATATTGCGTTAAGATGTTTTACAGCTTCTACGCAGAGCTGAGTGTTAAACACAGCTGACTGTAAAAGGAGATGTTAACCATCTGAAGCTACTGGGCCATGTTGTGCTTTTACTCAAATTGAAAAAAAATCTGTGTATCCTCCCATTTCTTTCAAAGTTGGCAGACCGTGGGCCTGAGTCATAAAGCAAATAATCCTTCTCTCATCTACCAGTCTATTCTGTTTGTTTTGCTCATGCAAGTAAGCTTGATGTCACTTCCAGTGTGAATTGTAGCCAGGATTTGTCTATATGAACAAGCCATCACCCATGAGCCAGGCTGATGAGAGCTGCTCTCCTCTTTGGTCCAGAGAAACCGATCTTCCTCATGTCACCTTGGTGTGAAACCGTATGTAGATGTCTTCACAGTTACCAGCTGTCCTCAGCCAGGTGACTCATTTCTAAGACTGGAACATTAAAAGCAGATTCAACAGACTCATTTTTATATGTCCATCGAACCCCTTGGGAGATTACATTTCTAGCAAACCGTCTGCAGGAAATGCCTTTGCAACTGTCTTTAACAGCAGCATTAGGTTTAATATTACAATACATATCCTGGAGAAGGTGAGTAAAATGCAGAATAATATCTCTGTTCACTATTTTTTAAAGCTGTGAACGTGCATTCCGGTTTCTGGTGAGATCCCACCCAGGTCTGTTTTACAGCCTTGCACACTCTTAAATTAGACTACATGCTTGTGTATGTCAGGAAACATCCTCGTGATGAAGACAATCAGCCAATTCATTCCATTTAGTAATCCAGACAAATTAAATTACAGAATCGCAAAGGAGGCTATCAAAAGATCTCACCAACCATAAGTGGCAAATAAGATCTCAGCTCCTGTTGATGAAAATGCTACTGAAGGCATGATCAAAGCCACCACCTGG